TGTTCAATACACCATTTGTACTACATTAAAGAATTCTTTTGAAATCAACATTTAGGTGATATTCCTCCTTTTTGAAATATGCAGAAATCAGTGGAGCATACTAGGTGTCATATTCATGTACTGAGATTATATGAGTTACTTTCATTCAATTAACACTATTTTGTGGGTGATTTATTATTGAATCTTTATTTACCACCATTTTGGTAAAAGAAACATCTATGATGTAATAAAAAAGTTAAGTTTTAATGACACGTGTCCATTCATAGTTACACTCATTTTGCTCCCTCACTATATCCTCTAAAACACTACACTTTCTTCAGTTTTATGAGGTTTTTTTGGCAGCCACATTGTGGGTCACAGCATAATTTCTCTGATATGTATTTTACATAAATATGTTTATTTTAAAGAAAAATGAATTCTTTCTAAATGCATGACTGCTGATCCATAATCCATGTCCACACCAGACACCTTATTAGTGGATAAGGGCAACGGCCACAGCTTTATTAAATTTATAACTTTTAACATTATCCAAACCTGTCAGCTGTTGAGCGGTTGCCCAACAGACAGTTCCCCCAACCTTTTTCCATAGCCTAACATAGAAACATAGAAACATAGAATGTGACGGCAGATAAGAACCATTCGGCCCATCTAGTCTGCCCAATTTTCTAAATACTTTCATTAGTCCCTAGTCTTATCTTATAGTTAGGATAGCCTTATGCCTATCCCACGCATTCTTAAACAGTCGGCACTCCGCCATCTGCTCCCGTGCGGGCTGTCATCTCCCCAAAGCAACTCTTCATCTTCACATTTTCTTTGCGCTGTCCAGGATACCGCCAAGCTGTGACAAAACAGAAAAACAAAGCCAGACACCAAACAACCAACTGGGTGGGCGGGCGGGAAAGTCAGTATTCTCCTGTCCCTTGTCTCTGCTGAGTCTCCTCCCCCGGCCTCTTACCAAACTGGCACTTTGCAGCATTGTATATTTTTTTTTTTTATCCAGCCCCTTATTCATGTGCAGCAGTCATGTTCCCCCTTCCTAAGTTGTCCAGGGGGAAACTGTTCCTTCCTAATCTTGCTGTTCTGTAGTGACAGTGTAGGAGGTGCCATCCCTGTGTATCATTAGACTGGGCGTGTGGGGAAAAAAAGCAAACTGTCTCAGAACTTGCATTAGTGGGATATTTTTGCTTGCTGTGTTGAATGCTATTTTACAACCCACTGGAATACAGAATAACCAACTGCTATATACATTGTGACATTCAAAATGGATACAACATATTTACTAATACTGGCAATGATATGTGTAACAATTTTATTTCTTTACAATGTCTTGTGGGACTGGACACCACCAAATTATCCTCCTGGACCCAAACCTTTACCACTGATTGGAAATCTCAACATTCTGGATATAAAGAGACCATATTTAACACTAATGGAGGCAAGTAATCATGTATAAATATTATGTTAAAGAATTTACAGTGTTATGTAATGTCTCTTTTTCCACGCAGAGGGGGAGGGAAAGACGACATTTTATTTTACTAAAGAGGGAAAAAAGTTACATAGAAGTGTTTCTATTTCTAATATATATATATATATATATATATATAATATAAACAAATATTTACTATCACATGAGCTTGATCGCAGTGGAGTGTTAATAATGTCATCGATTCCTGACTGTGTACAATCATATGAGTGGGGTGCTCATGGGGTGAGCCTACATTGGTACAGTTATGAGTGTGGTGATCATAGGGTGAGTGCATGTTGGCACAGTTTTGGGAGCGGGTTGATCATAGGGTGAGTGTACATTGATACAAGCAGGGGTTTCAAATGTAACCTTGTAATCAGTTCAATTTAGTTAAGCATACATTGGATGTATCATTCAGTCAACTGCTAATTCTTTGAGTTTACATGTATTCATGGAAAAAAAGCAACTATCTTAAGCCATATTTGGGGTGGACACCGGGGACACTAGGGGGCTGTGCTGCACAGGATCCAGACAACCAGGCCAACAGTTCTTCAAATTGTTAGCTATGTATAGGTAGTAGGAGGCCTCATATGAGATAGTGTGGCAATATGTTCGAATTCATTTATTTTGGAAATAAACCCGCTCTTTGATCCAAGAAGTAATTAGGAGTGTTCTCCCTTCTACTCCCCAGGTAATGCTCCTTAAGCTGTTGCCAGATCATATAAAAAAAATAATTAGGAACAGGCAGGAACACTATTTCGATGACACCAGAATTTTATTAACAAAAGCAAACCAGCCAAATTAGGGTGCTCACTCAAAAGATCCTATTTCTCCAAGGACCTATATAATCTATAACAATACTAAATGGGGAGCACAACCATACTAATAGAAACAACTTTATTAATTGAGTCTAATAATAAGAGGTATCCCAAGATACAAACAAACAAAAGGACAATATTGGTAATTATAGCACATTACAGAGAGTTACAAAATGTATCACAATGCTCTATACATAGTCAATAACTACAAAGAGTTACAAAATGTATCACAATTCGCAATATATAGTAAATAACTACAAAAAGAAGAAATGCTAATCCAGATACAAATTTGATTAGTTATCCAGAAAGAGCAACTCAACAAATCCCTTTATCAAGAGAGCCTCATAAAAGGCATTATTGCTGAAATATTGGGGGCTTCTTTTTGATTTTCTCCCTCCTCTCACTACTTCTGGTACTTCTGGTAATTTTCCTGTTATAGTATGCATGATTTGTTGGGTTGCTCTTTCTGGATATCTAATCAAATTTTTCTTCCACTAAACGTCTTTACTGTTCTGAATTACACATGGAAATTCTAATTCAGACAGTGCTATCATGTGTGGGGAAAACTATCTAACAATCTGGTGTGTCCCTTTCCGAAGGCAAAGAAATGTGATAGCCATCTATATGCAACTATATTTCATTTTCTGTTTTGAATACCTTACAGCACGTTATCTTTCTGCCTATGCTGTATCTAGAAATGCTTTATTGTAGTAGAAAGTGTATTTAAGGCCTGGGTAAGTCTAAGTATCTAAATAGAAAAACACTTTGAAGCAAAATTATTACCTACCGGGATTTCTAATATTATGTTATCCCATCCCTAAATTAAATAAATGTATATTTGTGTAGTGTGAAATATAAAATCATATATAGACATTAACACAACGTTATCCTGCAACTGGGCACCTCTATCTTAGCTCCCTGTCAGTCATTGAGATAAATGCTCTCCTTTGAATTTGGTAATCGGCTTAGAGAAATTCTAGATTTGTGCACATAATTATTTTTTGATTTGGCTGAATAATATTTCCCAACATTTTTTTTTTTTTTTGCTAGGGACATCCAAGTATTATTATTATTATTATTAGTAGTAGTAGTAGTAGTAGTAGTAGCAACAGCAGTAGTTGTATTTATAAAGCACCAATAAGTTCCGTAGCACTGTACGATGGGTGGACTAACAGACACGTATCTGTAAACAGACGAGTTGGATGCACAAAAACAGAGGGATTGAGGGCCCTGCTCAGTGAGCTTGCATGCTAGAGGGAGTGGGGTATAGTGACACAAAAGGTTAGGGTAGGGTAGGAAAGCAGTTTGCTAGGATAGTATTCATTGAGGGCTTAGTGTGTTGTTTTGAGGACAGTTTCAGGAGAGAAATCATGGCACGGGGAGGGAAAGCTGCTCAATGCTTGTTCATGTGATGTACATAAGGACTCTTAAAAATATTAGCTTTGCTGAGAAAGGGCAACAAATATATGAGCAAATAAGGAATTGCAATCTATCAGAGGACATTAATAAAATAAAGACTTGATCTAAACTGGTTTTGTTTTGCATGATCATGTGTTTTTCAAATAACATCTTGTTTCAAGTGTGTATTCTGACTTTGTTTATTTATCTGGTATTTTTTCTCTCAAAACAAACATCATGCTCTTTTTTCATGTGCCTTATTTATATTTTTAAGCTTAATAGTTTTCTTATGGTTTTTTTTTTTTTTTTAAACAAACAAGTCTCCTCCAAGGGTTAGAATTCCATAAATAGTTTACCAATAAAATAAAGAAGTATAGAAATAAATATGTTAACATAAAAATGTTTTAAAAGGTGTATACTTTTTTTTTTTTTAATTCTTTATTTTATTTGTGCTTAGCGTGAACAATCATGTTTGCACTGCCACGATAGCTGGTGCAAGCAAGTACGGAAACATACATTAACATAGGTATGGCATTGAAATACATAGCACAATTTTCTTTATATTCAAGATAGGAAACATGTTAGAGGTTAAACATTGAATAGGTTAGTACATATCAGGGTCAAATGCCACAACAGCGTACATATGTGTATACAGGTTAGACTGTGGCATGAGTAATTGCACATTTAGATTTTTATGAACAAGCTTAGTGTAACAAATGAGGTTCAGTTGAGTGTTTTAACGTGAGTATGTAGCAAGAGTGTTTTACAAGATAGCAGTATGCTTAAACAGGCTAGGTACAAGCTATGAGATAGAATCCTGTTCTGCTGTCCTTTAGTGTAGGCACGAATACAACACAATTAATATGGTGTCAGCTGTGGCACAATAGCTTGGATTGTAGGCATATAACGTGTGTTATGAGAAAAACTGTTGATGTGAGCTATTGCAGGATTACTAGTGAGGTGATCCTGGGTTGCTCCAACATGTCATGGCATGTGTTTACCTAGGGGTATGCAAACAGGAAAAAACAATCATGGCACAACATAAATTAAATTTAGATTAACGGTATCATCAGCGCGGGTGCAGAAGTCCAGTACATGAGAACATGTACTAGAGGGTGCGGGTGCCGCGCACAAGGTGAAGTGGTGGTTTCAGCCAATACCTCGACTCGGCATTTTGGGAGAGTCTCTGGATAGTGCTGTCTGAGGTAGGTATGCCAGGGTGTGTTCACTCTTCCTTCAGGCCTTCGAGGGGGCCTGCACCTGGGGTCTGTGGATCCAGACTATAGGGTATGATGAGGCTGTCGGGTGGCTGTATGTGCCTGGAGTGGTCCGCCTCTGGGTGCGGGTGCCGTGATTGTGCCGTAGTGAAGCGTGTTTTACGGCTGTGACCGGAGTGGCCCTTCGTCTTGGTGGGTTAGGACGAGGATGTGCTGATGCTTTGGACGGTGCTTTGCCCACGTGAGACCCAGGCCCTGCATGGCTCCTTTCACTTTGCCTCCTCCCCTGTTGCTGAGGATGTGAGTTTTGTTTCCGAGCTTCTATCCTATGCCAGAATTGCTCAAACAGCTTATCGAGGCGCTGTAATATGCCTTTCACCATGCTTGATTCGCCAGTCACTGGTCTGTGCAGCTCGCGCCCATGTTCAGGGAGCTCGTCCGCCATCTTAGGTAAGTCGGTCAGGCTTGCCGCGTGGTTGGTGTCGGGCGACTGGGTACATTGTTTGAGTAGGGCGCCAGCCAGGAGGGGACCGTGATAACCCCCACCGGTCCAGAGGGGGTGGGGGGGACAGCATTAGTCGAATGTCTCACCACCAGTAGAAGCGGCAGGAGAGCAACCGCCTCTCCTCCGCTCGGTCACTGGTAGGCCGCAAAGACTCGAGTCAAGGTTCCCAGTGGGGGAGAAATCCACGGAAGGTATCCCCAGCACCAGCGGCGTTTCAATTACAAGCGTGATCGAGTTTTGCTTCCAGGTAGGTGTTTGTTCGAGAGTAATGTTAAGTTTTAGGTGCCATTTGTGGGAGCCCAGGCAGCACACGTCTGTTTGGGTACATTTCCTTAAGGGATTACTCATACTATTTTTTTTTTATTTTTTTTTAAAGAAGTCTTTGTATACATACAACATTTTTATATACCTGATTTTGAAGTCATGCAATAAATATAGAGTACATATAGCAAAACAGACATAAGCGTATTTAATCTGAGTTTGGTAAATTCCTCCCACCATTGGAACTTGGTGAGGACTTTGACTTTATTCAGAAAAGACTGAGCTCTGGAGAACCCCTTCACGTGTTTGGCAGATTGTATTTATGCACAAATACAAGCAAGAACAAAACAATACTGAAACTATTGGATAGTGTCTATTGGATAAAAGTACCATCAGGTCAGTGTGAGAACAATGCCAAATAACCTAATCTAAGCCTCTTGCTTTCTTTTGGTTTCTCACTCATGCTCTCTTTTCTATATAAAATGTGATATTCAGTCTCACGATGTTCATAAAAATGATATAAAAAGTTCCATCTATTGCATGACAATATATTGAGTGACTACTTTTCACAACAGAGAAAAATATCTATTCTGATACCACACAAATGTAGTTATTGGGGCTAGGCTAGGAACTCAATGGAAACAGAATTGTAAGGCTGTGCTTTGGACCGGTGTCATTCTACAGCAAGTTTCCACAGTTTAAATACCCACAGTAGCAAACATTAAGATAAAGAACACTGCTAGAAACCTTGAGAGAGGACCTATGTTAATTAGACAGAGATATTAAAGCCGAGGTTTGGGCTATTGGAGACCGAATCGCTATTTGGAGGAAAAAGCAGATCAACTTTGAAGGCAAAGTGGCAGGCCACAAATTTAGTGACCGCCGAAATAAACACATATCAGAGGTTATGGCAGCAGTAAGTCATTTGAGGGGTTGAAAGGTGGATGCTGGAGAATAGAGATGTCCCGAACAGTTCGCTGGCGAATAGTTCCTGGCGAACATTGCTTGTTCGCGTTCGCCACGGCGGGCGAACATATGCGATGTTCGGTCCGCCCCCTATTCCATATCATTGAGTAAACTTTGACAACCCCCCCACCCGCCGCTCGGGGGTGGAGGCGGGGGAGGTTGTCAAAGTTTGGGGGGGACACCTACTGTCCTCCCCCCGGCCCCCACCCCTGAACGGTGGGTGGGGGCCCTAAAAAAAACAATAGGGGGGGAACTTCTGTCCCCCCCCCAGCCCCCACCCCTGAGTGGTGGGTTGGGGCCCTAAATACTAAGAAGGGGGGGAACTAAGGTCCTCCCCCCATGCCCCCACCCCTGAGCAGCGGGTGGGGGCCATAAATACTAAAAAGGGGGGGACCTAAGGGGTGGGGGCCGGGGGGGAGGACATTAGGTCCCCCCATTGTGATTTATTTGCCCCCACCCACCGCGCAGGGGTGGGGGCCGGGGGGAGGACCGTAGGTCCCCCCTCATTATTTTTATGGTCCCCCCCCCTCATTATCTTTATGGCCCCCACCCGCCGCCCAGGAGTGGGGGCTGGGGGGAAGACAGAAGGTGTCTCCCCTCATTATCTTTATGGCCCCCACCCGTCGCACAGGGATGGAGGCCGGGGGGGAGGACAGTAGGTCCTCCCCCCATTGTAATTTATGGCCCCCACCCAACCCACAGGACCTACTGTCCCCCCCCCTCATTATCTTTATGGCCCCCACCCACCACCCAGGGGTGGGGGCCGGGGGGAGGACAGTAGGTCCTCCCCCATTGTAATTTATGGCCCCCACCCGTCGCACAGGGGTGGGAGCCAATAGGTTTTGTTTTTTTGTGGGGTTTTTTTTTTACAGTGAGCAGCCACTGGCTGCTCACTGCTTACTAGACATGTCCCTACTCGCGGTATAGCGAGTAGGGGCAGAATTTACTAATACTAAGTAATCTTTACTTAGTATTAGTAAATGTGGCTGAAAGACCAATTTAGGTCTTTCAGCCTTTTAGTAGATAACTCCCTAATACCGTGGTGCAAGATGCAGCCGCGGATCGGAGTTTGCATGCCACAGTCCAGGTGTTAGTCCCCTTGAAACAACTTGTGGGTTTTAAAATTCGCCTGCCTATTGTAGAAATTCGCATTCGCCGTTCGCGAACCGAAAATTTCATGTTCGCGACATCACTACTGGAGAAGGACAAGGAGGCCAGCATCTCGAACCACTTCTTTCCAAAATGGTTGTATAGTGGTACACATTCACAAAGTTTGGAACATGGTGCCCTTCTCCATCCCATATCTCCAACATAGAGATGGTTATTAGTTGGGGGATTTAAACTATAAATAGAACAATTACAAGATAACTTACAGAAATGAAGGGTTGAAGAGGGCCCTGCTCAAACGAACTTACAGTGTATAGGAGGTGGGGTATAAAACACATTAGGACAGGAAATTGCAGTCAAATTAGTTGGGAGTGAGGCAGAGCTGGAGGAGAGAGTAGAGTGCTGCCCATAAGAGAGAGCAAGAAACAGTTATGTGAGGTAGAGGTTAGTCTGGGAGGCCATAGGCTTTCCTAAATAAATTAGTTTTAAGGCACTTCTTAAATTATTGAAGACTAGTGGAGAGTCTGATGGTGGTAGGCAGGCTATTCCATAGGAAGGGAGCCGCCCGTCAGAAGTCCTGCAAGTGTGAGTTGGCCGTACGGGTACAAGCATCGGACAGAAGAAGGTCATGGGCAGAGCGGAGAGACCGAGAAGGGGCATACCTATGGATCTGTGAGAAGATATAAGAGGGGCTAAGATGATTCAGTGCTTTATAGGTATGGGTTAGCACTTTGAATTGGCTGCTATAGTATACAGGAAGCCAATGTAACGACTGACAGAGGGGTAAGGTGTGAGAGGACCGACTAGAGAGGAAAATCAGTCTGGCGGCAGCATTCATTACAGACTGTAGCGGGGCAATACGGCTATTGGGAAGACCAATTAGGAGAGAGTTACAATAGTCCATGCGAGAGTTTACTAGAGCATGGACAAGCTCTTTAGTAGCATCTTGTGTAAGAAAGGGGCGGATGCGGGCAATGTTTTTGAGGTGGAATTGGCATGATTTGACAACAGACCGGATGTGAGGCTCAAAGGTGAGGCCAGAATCAAAAGTAACACCAAGTGTACATTACGTTATTCTAAACTAGATGAAAATTTTGCACCGAATAACATGATTTTGTTTTCTTCTCTTTCAGCTGTCTAAACAATATGGATCAGTTTTCTCCATACAGATGGGAATGAATAAAATGGTAGTTTTGACTGGATACGAGACAGTTAAGGATGCTCTAGTGAACCATGCTGATGAGTTTGGAGAAAGAGCAGCTTTTCCTATATTTCACAAGATTGATAATGGAGCAGGCAAGATAAACAATATATAATTTATTATTCTACGGCTGGAAACAGAGAGTGGAAACATTGTATCCTAAACCACAAACTTTCATATTAAAAGAAAGAAAGTATGGACCTCTACATAAATGTTTAACTTAAATTAATGCATTTTCAGCGATCTTTGTGCCATAGTTAGTGAGACTAACTTAGAATTAAAGGAACACTGTAGTCACTTTAACAACTTCATCTTATTGAATTTGTTGTAGACCCCACAGGTCTGCCCTGAGTCCTAACCCCCAAGACCCTTTATTTCATTAACAGAAAGCTTTACAGCGTTCAGACCATGTCTCAAAGCATTTTGGGTATGAGAGCCGACATGAGCAGTGCCATCACTATCAACCATAGAGAATCATTGGACGCAATGATTTTCTATGGAGTAATTGAAGGCGCACCACGGTGACTACTGCACGTACATTCCCCATTGCTCCAGTGATGAGCATTGGATTGGGCCACATGCCTTTAAGATAAAAAAACAAACAAACTAAAAGTAGGTTGTGGCAGCACGGAACAAGACTGTCATAGTCAATCCTGTTCCTTACAGATCAAGTAGGAAAATAGTATATCAAACTTCAGAGACTTCTATTGGGAAAAATTAGATAAACATGAAATAAATCAGACAGTCGGAATCAGAATGATTTTGACAATATAAAGTAAAAAAAGAAAGCAGTCCTTGTTAAATAAAATAGGTTGCTTCACCTTGTAGATTAGCCAATTATTAGTAGGGAAACAAACAAAGTTTATAGCAGATTGTTCACATGTAAGCTGTAATTCCTGCAAAAAGCAATCCCCACATGGAAAAAAACAAATATACATACTGGAAAACTGGCTGACTGTAGCTAAGTGACAGAAAGAGAGATAATTAAGCTTTCAGCAGCTGGGTTGGAAATATATGAAGTCCAATGGAGAAACACATGAAACAAGCTGAGTGTAATGACCCCATTTGAAGATTATGAAGGAATCACTGGAGAGATAAGTGGGAAATCAGTTGTAGGTTGATACGGAGATTCTGAGAACTAAAAAATGAGTTAGTAGCAACATGCAAGGCACAGGAGAATGGCAGGCAGGTGTCAACTTTTTAAGAGTGCGTAGGTTCACTGACAGGGCGGTGGTTACTAGGCTGTTTATTGTCAGTTAACATGTCAACCTAAAGGGAAAGAACAGGTTTTTTTTGTTTGTTTTTAAAGAGACAATAACATCAGGGCTCTAGTGTTTGGAATACAGATATATTATAGATTGATTCCTCTGCTGCTGAGTCACTTTACAGCAGTGTCATTGGGCATGTGATGTGCATGTTCTGTCATCAGGCAGCACAGCATGCTGGCATGAGTCAGCTATGTTGGCATGTACTCCCCCTCCCTGCTAATATTTAGCTGCAGCAAGTGGCTTCCATGTGATCCAGTGGAATAAGTTGTGGCTAGGGAATTGTGGGTTTCCATTCATAAGAGCTGGGAGGAAGGGAAATTTTAGCAAGCTTGGAAGGATGGGAACAGCAAAATCTTTCTGTTTAAGTGTCGTAGATGCAATTGTTTCCACTGGAACCTCTGTTGGTGCAGTTCTGAGGGACATCCTTGGAACTCCCCATTTTGCCTGTTTGAGTCTGGCAGCCTTGCTTACCATGCATGGCATGTGTGCTATAGGTTGCCAACCCCTGTTGTATTATTAGTATGTTATTATTTATATAGCGCCATCAAATTCCGCAGCGCTTCACAATGGGTGGACGAACAGACATGTAATTGTAACCAGTCAGGTTTGACACACAGGAACAGAGGGGTTGAGGGCCCTGCTCAATGAACTTACATGCTAGAGAGAGTGGGGTAAAGTGACACAAAAAGGTAAGGATAGTATTAGACTAGTGACAGTTGCAAGAGGAATCAGTTGGGAGCTATTAACAGTTTAATTGATACGCTTTTTTGAATTAGTGGGTTTTTAATGGTTTTTTGAAGGAGTAGAGACTGGATGAGCATCTCACGAAGGAGGGAAGAGAGTTCCACAGGAATGGTGCAGCCGTCGAGAAGTCTTGAAGGTGAGCATCAGAGGTGGGTGTACGGACAGAAGATAGACATAAGTTTTCAGCAGAGCATAAGGACCTAGATAGGACATACTTGTGTATGAGGGAGGATAGATAGGTGGGAGCAGCATTATGTAGAGATTTGAAAGCAAGAACCAGAATTTTAAATTGAGCCCTATATCTTACAGGAAGCCAATGTAGGGACTGACAAAAGGTTGAGGCGTGGGAGGTCCGTGCGGACAGGAAGATGAGCCTCGCCGCGGCATTCATTATGGACTGTAACGGCACAAGTTGGGAGCACGTAAGACCACTGAGAAGTGGATTAGAGTAGTCAAGGTGAGAAAGGACAGTGAAATGGACCATCACCTTAGTCACATCTGGCGTTAAGTAGGGTCGGATGCGCGCAATGTTTTTGAGATGGAAACGACAGGATTTGGTGATAGACTGAACATGAAGCTTGAAGGAGAGGTCAGAGTCAAAGAGGACACCTAGGCAGCAAGCCTGAGTGGTGGAGCTGATGGTAGCACTGTTGACTTGGAGGGAGGGAGAGACAGGAGTAACAACACTTGAGGGAGAAAAGACCAGAATTTCAGTTTTGGTCAAGTTTAGTTTAAGGAAGTTGGCAGCCATCCAGTTAGAAATAGCAGAGAGGCAGTCAGAGACACTAGTCAAGAGTGACAGAGAGAGATCAGGAGAGGACAGGTAGATTTGTGTGTCATCTACATAGAAATGATTTTGGAAGCCAAAGGAGCTGATGAGTTTACCAAGGGAGGTAGTATAGATGGAGAACAGTAGGGGACCAAGGAACACCAACAGTTGGTGAGAAGAAGCAGAGCCAGAGAAAGAAACACTGAAAGAGTGCTGGGAGAGGTAGGAGGAGCACCAGGAGATAGCAATATCTTGTAGATCGATATTGCGGAGGATGAGAAGAAGCTGTTGATGATCAACAGTGTCAAAAGCCGCAGACAGGTCAAGGAGAATTAGGATAGAATAGTAACCATGAGATTTTGCAGCGAGTAGATCATTGGATACTTTGGTCAGTGCCATTTCCACAGAGTGCTTAGTGTGGAAACCAGACTCAAGTAGGTCTAGCAGAGAGTTGGACTTGAGCAAGTCTGTCAATCTCTCATACACAACTCTTTCAAGGATCTTGGATGAAAAAGGCAGTAGCGAGATAGGACGGTAGTTGGATGGGGAGTTAGGGTCAAGGTTGGGCTTCTTCAGAACTGGGGTTACAGTTGCATGTTTGAAGGGCGATGGAAATATACCAGAGGAGAGAGAGAGATTGAAAATTTTAGTGAGAGGTGGAGAATGAGAAGAAGACAGAGTATGGATGAGATGCGAGGGAATTGGATCTAGGGAGCAGGTGGTGGGGCGGAAGGACTGGAGCAGAGCAGAAGCCTCTTCCAATGTAGCTGGTGCTAATGAACATAGAACAGCAGAGGGAGTGAAGTTATGGGAAGTATTGTAAGGGGAAGAAGAAAGATGAGAGATCTCTTCCCTGATTGTAGAGATCTTGTCAGGGAAGTGAGTTGCAAAGACTGAGGTAGGTGGAGGAGGAACAATAGGACAAAGAAGAGAGTTAAATTTGTGAAATAGTCGTTTGGGTTTGCGGGAGAGTGTAGTTATGAGGGTATTGAAGTAATTTACTTTTGCAGAGGAAAGAACCAAGCTGTATGAGCTCAGCATAAATTTATTAAAGAATGACACTCCTCTTCTTCTAAAGACTGGGATCCTTGGAAGGCTTATATGAAAAATAAGATACAATTGGGGGTTTGTAAGCCATGGCACATTCCCCCTCCCCCCCCTCTTTTTTTTCCTTCAGTGTTGGTAATGTTTTGTTTTATTTAAAGATACATTTGAGAACTGCAGGATTATAATATATTTTGGCATAAGAGAATATGTTTATACATGTTAATTCAACTGTTTTCTCCCACTCTATTGTGAACACTGTTTTGCTGCTCAAATTTTTTTTAAAAAAAAAATATTTACATAAGTTAATTTCCATTTGTTTTTTTATTTTTTAAATTCGTTTCTTAGCCCTTTGAGTGTGTGCAATAAAACTTTTGTTTTTCTGACATGTAGTATCACGTACTAGGAAATAATAACCAATTTCCATGCAGGTTTAGCATTTTCTCGTGGAGAGAACTGGAAAGTTATGCGGCGATTTACTCTTAAAACCTTAAGGGAATTTGGAATGGGGAAAAGCAGCATAGAAGAGAAAATCATAGATGAATGTGATTATTTGGTTCACCGATTTCAATCATTCAATGGTACGGTAATATAATCCTGGAAGATTAGTGTGCTTTTACAATGTATTTTTTTTTTAAAAAATCTAAAGAATCTGATAAAACAACCTCTTAAGACATAGAATGTCATATATTTATAGTTCTTACTGTAAAAAAAAAACACAAAAACCTTTCCTGTTCATTGGGAAATGTATTCTTTCTTCAAATTATTGTTTTTGTAAATTATTTGGTGAATGACTTACCTGTGATTTCATGTAAGTTAACCCCTTAAGGACCAAACTTCTGGAATAAAAGGGAATCGTGACATGTCACACATGTCATGTGTACTTAAGGGGTTAAAGAAACCCTTTGGGCACCATAACAAATTCACTGAAATGAAGTTATGGTGACAGGAAGTCCCTGGAATTGACTTACCTTTACGGGTAAATCTGTTCACGAACGGTTTAACCTCAAGTCTTGAATCCAGCATAGTTTTTCTCTGCCCCTGTCCTTCTACTTCTCTGAGATTGTTGGAAAAGAAATGTATGAAATTGTCAGCTGATACTCTAAGCCAATCAATAGCTCCCCATTCATATAAAACAACTTGAGAATTTATAAAAACAATTTCAAGCCAGTTTTTTTTAATACGGAGCTACTGATTGGCTTAGAGAATCAGCCGATGCTATCAGACAATCAGTGGTGCTCCTGTCTTAGGCTACCTCTTTCAAGAATTTCAGAGAAGTAGAAGGACATGTAAAGTGCTAATTGGCACTGGATTCAAGACTTTAAGCACTAAAGGTAAGCCAGTTCCAAGGACCTCCTTGTTCCATAACAACTTCATTCTCATGAAGTTGTCAAGGTGCCCAGAGTGTTCCTTCAAAATCTAAGCAGGGCAATAAATTTGACTTACAGGAGTATTTGTTTGCTTTTCTTTTAGGAAAGCCAGTTGACAACTCTGTGCCAATTATGTCAGCTATTGCGAGCATAATAGTGTCAGTAATCCTAGGACACAGGATGGAGTACGATGACACAACCTTTTTGAAACTTATGAGTCTGACAGTTGAAAATATAAGGCTAGCGGGATCTCTGATGATTTCGGTAATATGCAACAAAGAACCTTTACTTATACTGGATAAAATTGACTATTTGCTAAAACTCCAAGGCTTATTTATTAGAAAGCAACATGTCAAAATGAAAAGAACAAAAATCAACTAGCCATGACTGTCTATTGACTGGTAGGGAGCAGGGCATCAGAAGTTAGTGTCCCTTACACACTGTATACATACACTAGTCAGCAACAAGACTAAAACTACTGACAGGTGAAGTGAATAACATTGATTATGTTGTTACAATTGCTCCTGTCAAGCTATGGGAGAAATATATTAGATCAGGTGGATGGTCGGATATGTGTGTGTCATCTCCTTTGGGAAGAGCAAGCAGCAGAAAGCAATATGGGAAGAAGGTAGGCCAGAGGAGTCAGCGTTATACTAAGGGCAATGTTCTGCTGGGAAACATCGGGTTCTGGCATTCATGTGGATGTTACTTTAATACGTACCACCTATGTAGAGATTGTTGCAGACCATGTACACTCCTTCATGGCAGTTGTGCTCCCTAAAGGCAATGACCTCTTTCAGTAGGATAATGTATTCTGTCATACTGCAAACATTGTACAGGAATTAAAAAAGAAGACTCACAAGGAGTAAGTGTGTGAGAAAGCGCTTAAGACGTGTCTAAAAAGTAGAAGTGGCTCTTGACACCCGTGAGGGAATGCCTTTCCTCCTCACCAAAATATGAAACCAAACCAACAATTATCAAGATACAATCTTAACAATAAATGGGTGGAACGCTTGATAGTATTTACATGCAATAATGCTTACCCCTTATTGAATTAAGTCTGGAAATTCTGGTGTACTTGAATACATAAAAAAGGTGATAAAAACACGGAAAAAATTGCTAGTGCAGATGGTACTGATATACAAATAAAGTGCAAAATAAATAGGAGAGAAAACTTACAATATCCAGAGCCTGAGAATTAAGGCTCTATACAAGCACGGTGGTGCTCATATAGGTGGCACCCACCTTCTTCTCACGGAATCCTCTCTCAGGTTAAAACAAACAAAACAGGAAAAGCTTATATAGAGTAGTATATTGAAGCAGCAAAGAAGTGTCAAAAGTATATAAAAAAAAGGGACGCTCACCTTCTTAAGAGCCTATTGATTTCTTGGCTCTAAGGTGGGAACACTGAGTGTAAATATTTTGGGGTGACACTTCCCTATCTGGAACCTGGAACTGGACTAGTAGGCAAGTAGAGTGCTAAAAGACTAGCATTTACTTATCAAATAAGAAAATAATAAAAACAGTTAAAATAAAATGACAAGTCCACATCAGGACTGGACTTAAGAGACTGTTAAGTGCATGTAATTTTATTTTCACCCCAAAATATTGGCACTAAGTGTTCCACAAATGTGGAGCAGGTAAGTCTGCTCAGGCTGTAGGTGGTCCTTTCCACCACAATAATGGGCTGATCCAGTAGATGTCGCACATGACAGAAGCAGTATCTTCAAAAATTCTTTATTTGCAAAAACAGTTTCAAGTGCAGTTAAAAACAATGAAAACAATAAGCTTCAGTGAGTTCAGTCCCCTCTGTGATGTAAGGTAATGTAATATCTGTATCCCAGCTCAAGCGCCGGTTTTCTCAGTGCTGTGGGTTCTGATTTTTGGCTTCAATTCCCTTCAGGAGGCAAGGGCAGGGACGTTGGACATTCCGCAACATAGTGATGGACGTAATAAAGCTTTTTCGCTGGTCTAAGCTTCTTTAGACATGCCCTGCTACTGGTGGCAGTCACTTTTAAAGTCATTCCTATAGACGTGTACAGCCCAAAATGAAACAGAGAATGAAACATTCTAATTGGATATTGCTAAAAACCTCATTAGTATATAAAAAAAAAGAGAACATGGCAATCAGAGTAAACTGGCCTAAGCACCATACATAGTGGGGAATATGTACTAAAATAATGAAATACAAATAATTACATTCAATTACAATTAAGACTATATGATATGTAATACTAATACACAGAAGTATACATATGTCCAACACTTTATATTAATCAATTCAACGTATGTAAAATAAACAATAAAAAAAATAATTTTAGTGATATTCTTTACTTGTCATAAACATTTTTCTAGTGCCATTTTTTACTTTGGTATATCTGATGTGAACCATGCCTCGCCAAAAACAGCTTTTGGAAGACTTGCAATGATGAATGAAGAAAAATGGTCAGAGCTGACATTTAATGTGGATAAGAGCAAGATAATAAGATAAAGCCAGGGACTAATGAGGGTTTTTGAAAAAATTGGGCAGACTTGATGGGCCGAATGGTTCTTATCTGCCGAAACATATCTCCCCTGGCTGTGACTCACACAACCTGGATGGAAATAATGTTTTTTGTTTTTTTCCAATTAGATGCTAAGCTACTTTAGAATATTTTTTACCAGCTCTGTAAATTGATATTTAATCACACAAAAAGAGACTCCTGCCAGTTCTAGAAGGATATTAACAGATCAGGAGATGCTAAATTCTAAATTAAAGAGGATGTTCGTAAAAGAAGATTAACTATTAGATGTCTCTATACAGGAAGTGTTTAGGAAGGCTGCACAAGTCACATACAGAGAGTTGTGACTATGACTATATAAACAATAGGATTTTACAATAAATGGCAGCAGTGGATCTATACACCAATGCTGCTTCATTAATATAAAGTTGTTTTGGTGACTATAGTGTCCATTTAAGTACAGTGGATGGAACATCATCCTGATTTGGGGATATTTTTATGCTTTGAGTCCTGGACCACTTGCCATCAACAAGGCAAATATTAAAGTTTAACAAAATATACTACAGGGTTATATCAGGGTGATTGTGTGCCAGCTGAAGTAGTAGTTTGGTGATGCAGCAGGACCATGAGCCAAAACATTAAGGTGAATCCATTACAGAATGGATTTAAAAAAGCATGATTCTGTGGAATGGCCTCAAGAGAGCTATTCACACCAGAAATCATAAGAATATGGCTGAGCTGAAGCAGTTATGTAAGGAAGAGTGGTCCTCCTGAACATTGTGCAGTTTTAATCTGCATCTACTGGAAAATGCTTAGTTGGCTATTAAATCCAAGTGTTGCTGTTTCAAGTGTCCAAGTCTTAGGTTTTCAAGAGATTTGTGAATGTTTAATGGGATGTCTTAAATAAAGACATGAAATATTATAATTGTTTGTGTGTTGGTAGCTTAAGCACATAGTGTTTATCTATACTTGTGACTTTGATGAAGATGAGACGACATTGTATGACCAATTCATGCAGAACACCAACTAAAAGGACTCACATACTTTTTCTTGCCAATATATGTATGTGTGCATATATACACACATACACAGCCATTATAAATAAGACATTCCTTAAAATGTTTAAATAGTGCGTTGACATTTTGGAATACTACATTTTTATAAAATATTCAATTTTAATTGTTTTGTTTCTATTTCAGCTATATAATATATATCCCAACTTTTTGAGATTATTTCCTGGAAGTCATTTAACCATTAGAAAAAATGTAAAGGAGGTAAATGATTTCATAACAAAGACATTTGTAGAATATCTGAAGGAATTAGATCTTAATGACCAAAGGAGTTTCATAGACGCATTCCTTATACGGCAAAAAGAGGTATGGTGTAAATTTTTTATAAAACAATATATAATTCACACATAAAAAAAAAAAACACACAATGCACAAGCTGCACCGTTTTAAAGAGATCTATTTGGCTAACAGCACCAGATAATTAGACCTTTAACTCCAGCCCCAAACAAATATAATAGGTGCAATAACATTATCAATATATAGACAAAAGGGACAACCATAAACATATTTATCTTAATTGTAATACAGTCTAAAACTTGAAGGTAACAAAAGAAATGACAAAAAGAAAACAGGATTGCGAATTCCTTTTGTACCTACTCCTGGAAAAGCACCAACACAGTTGCTGACCACCTGCAGCAGCTGTCCAGAACAATGATCTTTAGATTCCATTGTTTATTGCAGCCCAGAATCCCTCAAAAGTGTGCATAAACTCTGCTTGAAGATATTTTTAAGTAACTTTAACAAAGAAAGTGAACCTACAATATCTACAATGGCAGTATACATATTAGTACAGTTAGATAGCATTGATTTAATAAACTACAGTGATAACCAGCAATACAATGCAGTAATAACACTGAATTATTTACCTAATCAAAGCAGCACTTTATGATTAATCGGTATACAAGGTGAAGATTGACACTAGAACATATTATATTATATATAGTAAACCACCGACATGCAGTTGAGAATGTCAGGAAATCACCAACAGGTAGTTGAGAATGACAGGGCATAGATCCCAAAGGACTTTCAGATCAAGACAGACAAGCAAGTACTGGCCAACCAACCCGACATGGTAGTGATAGACAAGAACCAGGCCTCTGTTAGCAGATTTGAGATTGAGGAATATATACCACCCTGGAGGGGTAAAAAAAAAAAAAAATATTGAAAAACAAAAAGAAAATAAATCCTACTTGGAGACTTACTAAACAACAGTATTATTAACTATTCAACTGGACAGCTAATCTGGTTCCCAGTTTTAAACAAGATGAAATACAGCACTTTAAGCAGGTTTCACACAGTACCTTTTTCTCAGAGTATCAGGCTTAACTGCCTCCTCTCTCCCAGCTCTTAGATTCCCCCATGTCTTCAGAGGCTAACCTTTTAAAACCCTAGAGTGCTCCAATCTATTACTAACATAAAAGCCTCTCTGACCCTGCCCACAATCTCTCTCTCTCTCTCTCTCTCTCTCTCTCTCTCTCTCTCTCTCTCTCTCTCTCTCTCTCTCTCTCTATATATATATATATATATATATATATATATCATACATACATTGAACAAAATTCTAAACTCTACACTTTTTCTTTTGCACCCATTTTTCATGAGCTGAACTCAAAGATCTAAGACTATTTCGATGTACACAAAAGACCTATTTCTCTCAAATATTGTTGGGAGTGAAGGTTAGCTCATCTAGTCCAATTATATAGAAAAACTACTGTAGCTCAAAATGCTAAAATGGAATGCTGGCCACGATAGAAAAGGAGAGTGTCAGAACTAAACCATGGAACAATGGAAGAAGGTTGCTCAGTCTGATGAATCATGTTTTCTTTTATATCAGGTGGATGGCAAGGTGAGTGTGCGTTGTTTACCTGGGAAAGAGATGGCAGCAGTCTCGTATCCCCTACCTGATGGCAGTGGTCACTTTCAGCATGATAATGCACCCTGCCACACTGCAAAATAATATTCAGGAATGGTTTGAGTAGCGTGACATAGAGTCTTAGCCTCCAAATTTCCCTAATCTCAATCTGACTGAGCATCTGTGGGAAGTACCAAGAGAAAAGGTAGACATCTGTTCCCACTGTCAATATCTAATATTTACATACAGTAAAAATTCATAAAAATCAAGAAGATGCTTTATTCGTCATTCAAAAAAAGCCAAAAAACAAAAAACAACAAAAAGTGAACACACAGACCCTGGCTATGACTGCCTGACAAAGCAGAAGTCAATTTCGGCAGTTAAAGCAAAGAGCACAAAAATAAGGGGTGAGACAATAAGGAATTCCACAAATAAGTTTAAACAATTAACAATTGACTGAGTCCATGCACATCGCCGTAGCGATATATACCCATATCTGAGAGCGATGTGTCTACTACATTGAAAAAGTCCCAACAATGTAACTTTAATGAGCTTGTCAGAAAGATCCCCACTAAGTTAACTGTGCAATGTCGGTAGGTAAAGTTTGTATCGGTATGTCAAAGATAAATCCGATACAATACAAAGTATCTACACAGTCCAGCTGAAAGGGGGTTCTTCCTTTGAAGCACAGTTAGTGCAAACTCAGTCTAAAATCATGATAGTAAATGAATACCCTGTACATATACTTTGTTCTACGGTCTCTCGATAACAGGCGTGTTTCTGATGTCGCTAATGGGGAACCATACCAACATCCTAATGCCTTAACCGCCATTAAAGTCAAAAACACTAGTCACACAGCCTGATAGTGATTGTATTAGTAGTGTATGTACAAAAGTAAAAATTGTCAAATTATAAGTATATCAGACGGTTATGTGCTGATCTACTCGATCGTAGGACTGCTAAGAATGAAGCAGTTGTTAAAAATCGGATAATGCAAATTCATTTGCTAAAAGTACGCTGATCGGTGTCTAGTCTGTCTATTGTGCAAAGGCAGCTGTCAGCCATATAAGTTCCGAAGGTACCTGAGTGGCTATATAGTGTAGCCCGTGGTAAATGTCTGCCCACAAAGTAAAGGTGCCAGGGAACACAGGAGACAAAACTAGATAGTAACTAGATAGTAACATGTCGAGCTCCAACAGATTTCCGCCTTTTCTCTTGTTACAAATTTTCAGGGTTACCCCCTTATCTGTTCCCATAGATTCCCAGACATTACTCATTTGGCCAATTTCTCATCAATCTGTGGGAAGTACTGGAACAACAAATCCCATCCATGCAATTTATGCAAATAATGTTGTGGCTGATTTAAACAGAAAAGGGAAATTGAGATAGAATGAACACATGGCAAAAGTGCCAAAAAAGCCTTGGTCACAAACACATTGCAGCTTAAAGGGTTAATAAAATCCTTATTTTGGTGAACTAACAATACTTTTTTGCCTCATTACTTTGCAGGAGGAAAATAACCCTAAAACATATTTTCATAATGCAAATTTGATGGGTCTTATAAGAAACATTTTTGCTGGTGGGATAGACACAACAGCCACGACCCTACGCTGGGGTCTTCTTCTAATGCTAAAGCACCCAGACATTCAAGGTAAAAGCTCACAAAATATTTAAATGTACATTTTAATGAATGACAATACAGCAATCGATTCACCAAACAATAGCTAGAAAAATGGTTTCCAATTTTTTGTGCGTTTTGTTTGACTACGATGACAAGTATTATACTATACTTCAAGGGAACTATTGTTAAAATACTCCTATTTTTAAAGAACTATAGAGATTATGTATTAAAACATATGTAAAAAAGGCTGGTGAGATAGCACAGTGAACTAATGTAGAATCTGTTCAACCTTTGGGGGTCGCAGGCTCACATCCTGGCAGGGATGACTCAGCTATTCATCCTTCCTAGGTAGATAAAATGAGTACCATTAAATTGGGTAACTATAAATAGTAACACCCTCTGAATGTTGTACAAAAATAACATCCCCGTGATGTACTTGGAAATCAGAGTAATATGAATGTACCTTTCCTGGTTATATACTTTGCTATTATTATTTATTTTGCTATTATTATTATAAGTTCTGCAGCTGGAAAACCATTGGCTAGTATCTCTCTGATTGTGTCCTGATACCATAAGCTGAATAAAATAGAGAAAACTCATTAGCTGTGTCTAAGCTGGGGGGTTTACAGTTGTAACAATTTTTACAAATTACTGCAGTTATAAGTCATTCTAAAGGCTGAAATGGGTGTAGGGTAAACTTTACATCACAAGATTTGCAATCATACAATGTTTTTATTAACCCCTTAAGGACACATGACATGTGTGACATGTCATGATTCCCTTTTATTCCAAAAGTTTGGTCCTTAAGGGGTTAAACTTGTGCACAATGAAGAATTATGGTTAATTTAAATCGATTCATCAGAAAATGATTTTTGCTATGGGTGATTCGGGGTTTGTCCATGGAACGTTAAGTTCGGATGCCTTTCATCCATGCAATTGTTTTCAGAAAAACACTTTTAACAATACCAAAAATATACAAAAATGCACCTATCAGTCTTTTAACTTTTCACTCCAGTACTCCTCCAAGACATGCCACATGCTGTATATTTTAAAACTGTATCTCCTTTTCCAACACAGAATGAAACCAAAGCTTGATCTCATATTCAATGTCATAAATTAAAAGCAAAAATTGTTGCCTATGCACTTTCCCAAATGCCTATACATATTTAAATAACGGGAGGTTATTAGCACCACTGCAATGATCATTAAAGTGCAAGCTCACCTGCCAGGTCAAGGCAAACATCTTAGTTGAGTTCTGGCTGTTAAATACAAAAGCAAATACAAACACACAAAATTAATTCCCACTACTTTTGGGCGGCAGCTATGGCTACAGGAGCCTTAAGAGTTATTACATTTTAGATGGAAGTAGGTGAATTGTTAGTGTAGGACTCACTTAAGAGTTTTGACTTGTAAAAAAGGGCAGGTGAGCTTGTACTTTAATAGCCGTTGGAGAAGTATTAAAAACCTCCTGTTAGGGCGGAGCTAGCAATGGACCTAAACGGACGCACGATCTTGACCTCCGTTATCTATTAAGGAAAAACTCCTGATTTACACTTAATTCCTAAATGGGACAAAGTGGCACCTCATCCCCTGACTGATACTCACCACCATGGGCCACAAAACCAAAGAACCACGGGTGGATAAAACGTGCATCAATCTCTCCGATCCAGTTCGAGGGATCATCCCTTCTTGTTTTCCCAGATCTCACACAGAACACGTTGGTATGGAGAAGGTCACTGAGACTGATGCTGCAAGTTCTACAGGCTAAAGATGTCACATATCGCTGGGGGATCCCCAGAATACTGCTTTTCTCCTATCAAGGAAAGAATAATCTGGTGCGGAATCTCCAGGAATTGGACACCTTGATGAGCAATATGGGCCTCCTTGCGGATTCAGGAGCAAGGAATACCCGATTGTCAACTCTAGATCCCTCAAAGATCCCCATCTTCACACCACGGTCTTCCTCAAGCCACTCACATGAATTTACGGTCACTTGACTGATTAGATCTTTTCAATTACCAAGCACAGGGAGCTGGCCTCATAGAGCCCAGAAGGCAATTTGTGATTTATTTTACTGTGACGTTCCAGTAGTACATTTTTTTTCAGTTTTTCTGGGGAAAAAAGCAGCTCTTGTTTCCGTTGCTAGCTTATAAAGCCTCCTATGACACGTCGAGGTAGGTGTAAAATAGAAGGTATATCTCTCCCACCCCCAACCTCTCTATCAACGAGCCACACCACACATAGTGACAACAATAGCGTAGGAGGGGGTCTTTTAGCCACGGGTTAGTAACTAACCCATACACCCTACTGGTAGGGTTTAACTCTATGTAAATCTGTCTGTGTTTCACACAAAAAAAATCCTCTCTTTGCTTACTGTCCCTGTATAAAGTTTGTACGCCAATATTTTGTCTTTAACTATGTTACTCATGCTTGCATGCTCACACATAAAGTGAGACAAAAATTAAGAATTAAAAAAAAACTCCTGTTATTTAAAAATGTATAGGGATTTGGGATAGTGCACAGGTAACATTTTTGCTTCTGTACTATGTATTTTGACTTATGAAAACTGTAACTTTTGCTGCCGCCCCAGGAGTAGTGGGAGTTTGAGCACAGGGCATTATCTTGTGTTTGTATTTGCTCTTGTGTTACACAGCCATGTTACTGTGCTGCCTATTAAGGGTTAAAAAGTGTTTAGGTGTTCACAAAAATACCCATTTCTGTCTCATTAGAGATTTTAGCTGAAAGCAGCATGGTGAATTGATAACATAAGACTTATAATTCATATTTATTGTACAACATGGAAATCATTATAGATTTGAAATGTATTGTAAATTGCCATTAACAATTATCTGTAATCTTGCTGCCTACAGAAAAAGTCCAAGATGAGATTTCACGGGTGATAGGATCTACACAACCAAGATATGACCACCGTTTGCAAATGCCATATACCAATGCGGTTATACATGAAATCCAAAGATTTGCCAATGTTGTGCCTATGAATTTGCCTCATAAAACTACGAAAGATGTGAACTTTAAAGGATATTTTATCCCAAAAGTATGTTTTTTCTTTATCTAATTATATATTTTGTATTTATGTTTGTAGAGATTTATGGGGCAATTATCTAAAGTGAGAGTTCAATGGGAATTTTTAAATTTAAGGACAGAGTAGGCAAACTGAAAAAATAACTGACTCATAGAATGTTTCCAGTTCAGCTATTTTGACCTTAAAAGGATTCTATAGTGCCAGGAAAACAAACTCGTTTTCCTGGCATTATAAGTTACTGTAGTGCCCCCCTCCATTAAGCTCTATTTCACGCTAAAGGGGTTAAAAACATTTCAATCACTTACCTGAATCCAGCAACGATATCCATCGGCGCTGGTTCAGGCTCCGCCCATGCTCCTCCCCCGCCAATGATGTTTAAGTACTAAAAAATGATGCAAACTACTCGTACATAACATTAATATTGATATTACATTCTATAGGGAATTACTATTGTCCCATTACTGTACTCAGTTCTTCGCGATAAGACTCAGTTTGCCGAACCAGAAAAGTTTAATCCGAATCATTTTCTGGATGCAAGTGGGAACTTTGTAAAGAAGGACGCTTTTATGGCATTTTCTGCAGGTATGTAAAAGCTTAGGGAAGTTTTCAATTAATGATGAAAGTTTCTAATAATCAAACCTTAACCCTGTATACAATTCTGACAATTACTTAATGCTCATTGTATATAATATTCACAAAAGTTTTTATTTTGTAGATCTGCAATGAACAGTCAACCATTTTGAAAAATGTAGTTTGACTATTATAGACTAAATTTGTGTCAGTTATTGTTTTGTGTCTTTTATTTGGTCTTTTTGGAGACAGAAAAAAATTAAGACTTCAATTAGTAAGCGCTATTATAATTTTTTACAGGTATTTCAGACTTATTGGCTTCTCCTCTCACTACTATCAGTAAGAAGTGATAGGTGATGAAAATTTTGGAGTTGGTAGTTGCTATGGAGACCGCCAGGAAGTTGATATATTAAAGGGACTCAGAGGAAAGGAGAGTGGACTACTGGCAGCCCCCTTCCTCAGCATGTTGAGTGGGGGCATAAGGAAGGACTGACCCCCACAGACTTTTTAAATTTTTGTGTTTTTGCATTCTTTGTGATGGTTTTCTTACAAGAACTGACCAGTCAGCATGTTATGTAACAATAATATTACCAAGGTTTTTTTTTCAACTCAATAGCAGTTGAATTTATTTATTTATCTGATTTGACTGGTCATTATCTAGTTGAAATCTGGAATACGTTTAGTGTTTGGTATGAATGCAAACCTTATTTTCTATAGGATTCGCATGTGTAAATGACTGATTTTAATTGAGACACTGAATGAATGATGCTCATTTGGTTATAATGGCTGAATTTCCGCATGTTTGCTGTTAGTGAATATGAGAACATCAGTTTAAATCCACCTGGAAAAATTCAATGCTTATTGAATGATCCTCTCAATGTGGGCCTAGATCCTGGGTGTTTGTTTTCTATGTCATAGGATTTTATGTGTGACAGGTGTATTGTTTTTCTTTCTTTTAAAGCTGTTAGGTGTCATTTTGTGCTTTTTTGCTTTTTCCAAAAATGGTAGATTATGCTAATGCAGTGTACCTATAATCTTAATTTTATTAAGGACAGGAGACAAATATTTTGCATTAAACTAAACTCAAGCAGCACAGATTTAACAATAAAGGTTAGTGAAAAAAAACCATATTGCAACAGGGTATAAAAGGCCCTTCCCCCTTTATCTCTTCCTCTTTCTTTGATGCGCTATAACAAAAAATACATCCTTAAACAGTTAACGCTGTTACGGCGTTCTATGCCGTCCCGCATTATGTGGGCTTTAAAGCCGTTGCGGCGGCATAGAACGCCGTAACTGCTTTGAGCCCCTGGAGGTCCGGTGGACTTACTTCCGCCGCGATCCTCTTCTGGAGGGCTGCCTGACAGCCCAGACAGCCCTCCCCCAGCAAATGAGGCCCCCGGGGGCCATGTGATCGCTCTTAAAGAGCGATCACAAGGCTCCTATAACTGGCTGTGGAAATGTCAGACAGTCCCCTTGCTGGTGGAAAAGTAAAAAAAAATATTTAAACATGTTATAAAATAAAAAATAAATGTAACTTCATACAAAGTGTATTTTAATACTAATATAAGTACATATACAGGGAGTGCAGAATTATTAGGCAAATGAGTATTTTGACCACATCATCCTCTTTATGCATGTTGTCTTACTCCAAGCTGTATAGGCTCAAAAGCCTACTACCAATTAAGCATATTAGGTGATGTGCATCTCTGTAATGAGAAGGGGTGTGGTCTAATGACATCAACACCCTATATCAGGTGTGCATAATTATTAGGCAACTTCCTTTCCTTTGGCAAAATGGGTCAAAAGAAGGACTTGCCAGGCTCAGAAAAGTCAAAAATAGTGAGATATCTTGCAGAGGGATGCAGCACTCTTAAAATTGCAAAGCTTCTGAAGCGTGATCATCGAACAATCAAGCGTTTCATTCAAAATAGTCAACAGGGTCGCAAGAAGCGTGTGGAAAAACCAAGGCGCAAAATAACTGCCCATGAACTGAGAAAAGTCAAGCGTGCAGCTGCCACGATGCCACTTGCCACCAGTTTGGCCATATTTCAGAGCTGCAACATCACTGGAGTGCCCAAAAGCACAAGGTGTGCAATACTCAGAGACATGGCCAAGGTAAGAAAGGCTGAAAGACGACCACCACTGAACAAGACACACAAGCTGAAACGTCAAGACTGGGCCAAGAAATATCTCAAGACTGATTTTTCTAAGGTTTTATGGACTGATGAAATGAGAGTGAGTCTTGATGGGCCAGATGGATGGGCCCGTGGCTGGATTGGTAAAGGGCAGAGAGCTCCAGTCCGACTCAGACGCCAGCAAGGTGGAGGTGGAGTACTGGTTTGGGCTGGTATCATCAAAGATGAGCTTGTGGGGCCTTTTCGGGTTGAGGATGGAGTCAAGCTCAACTCCCAGTCCTACTGCCAGTTCCTGGAAGACACCTTCTTCAAGCAGTGGTACAGGAAGAAGTCTGCATCCTTCAAGAAAAACATGATTTTCATGCAGGACAATGCTCCATCACACGCGTCCAAGTACTCCACAGCGTGGCTGGCAAGAAAGGGTATAAAAGAAGAAAATCTAATGACATGGCCTCCTTGTTCACCTGATCTGAACCCCATTGAGAACCTGTGGTCCATCATCAAATGTGAGATTTACAAGGAGGGAAAACAGTACACCTCTCTGAACAGTGTCTGGGAGGCTGTGGTTGCTGCTGCACGCAATGTTGATGGTGAACAGATCAAAACACTGACAGAATCCATGGATGGCAGGCTTTTGAGTGTCCTTGCAAAGAAAGGTGGCTATATTGGTCACTGATTTGTTTTGTTTTGTTTTTGAATGTCAGAAATGTATATTTGTGAATGTTGAGATGTTATATTGGTTTCACTGGTAATAATAAATAATTGAAATGGGTATATATTTGTTTTTTGTTAAGTTGCCTAATAATTATGCACAGTAATAGTCACCTGCACACACAGATATCCCCCTAACATAGCTATAACTAAAAACAAACTAAAAACTACTTCCAAAAATATTCAGCTTTGATATTAATGAGTTTTTTGGGTTCATTGAGAACATGGTTGTTGTTCAATAATAAAATTAATCCTCAAAAATACAACTTGCCTAATAATTCTGCACTCCCTGTATTAGTATTAAAATACACTTGGAATGACGTTACATATATATGATATATATATATATATGTTATATATATATATATATAATAGATATATACACATATATATATATAATAAAATAATAAAATAAAGAAATAAAATATTGAAACAAAATGTAATATAAATTATATATTCATATGTAATTTCATTTTAACTGTATTTTGTTATTAATATATATATATATATATATATATATATATATATATATATATATATATATATTGGTAACAAAATACACTTAGAATGACATTCTATATATATATATATATATATATATATATCTATATATAAAATACAAATAACCGCAAATATATATATACATAGATAAATACATATAATTATTTAAAAGATTACATTAGTATACACGTAGAATTTAAATACCTATAAATGCAAATATATTAAAATTCTACATGTATATTTAAGTAATCTTTTAACATAATTAGGTGATTTGATTAATTAAAATTTGATTGACATGACTGACAACACAGGGAGAAAGTGCAGAGAATTTAATTCGCAAGCACTATATTTGACCCTGTAACTCTCCAAGACACCATAAAACCTGTACATAGGGGGTACTGTTTTACTCAGGAGAATTCGCTGAACTCAAATATTAGTGTTTCAATTTAGTAAATTGTATTACAACAATGATATTTTAAGTAAAAGTGAAGTTTTTTGCATTTTTTACAAACGGCACTTTTATGGACTATATTATTGTTGTAATATGTTATACAGTGGCCAGTGTTTGTGACTAAGTGGCTACTAAAAAAGACTAAACATACCCCACTTTCAATACCTTGGGTTGTCTACTTTTTCAAATGGTATGTCATTATGGGGATAATTCTCATTCCTGGGCTACCACACCGTCTCAATGGTAACATTACTAATCCGGAAAATTTCAATTTGAAAATGAAAAATTCTATATTTGACCCTGTAACTTTCCAAAACACCATAAAACCTGTTAATGGGGGTACTGTTGTACTCATGAGACATCGCTGATTACAAATATGTGTATTTTGTTGCAGTAAAACCTAACAGTATTATGACATTAACAGCTAAAATGTCAGATGGAAATACAAATTTAGAAAAAAATCTTATTTTCTCACATTTTTTTAAATTTTAATCATAATAAATTATATTCCATATATGAATAGTTAATGGTAAAATAAAGCCCCGTTTCTCCTGATCTAAATGATATATAATAAGTGTGGGTGCACTTAATGTGACAGCGGTGAATTACGGTTGAACAGATATATAGCGCAAATTCCAGTTTTTATTTACGTTTTGTTTTGATCAGAACGTGCACTATTGACTCCGTCCTGAAGGGTTTAAAATAGAATAAACATCAACAATAACGATAACAATGAAGGTTCAGACTGTAAACAATCCGAATCCCGAATGGTTAGTTTTCGTAGAGTGCAAAGACGATCCCATGTATTGATCCATGAAGATGAACAAAACTGAAAAGAAACAAAAGACGTGAAAGATTCTTGGAATTGAACTGTTTGTCATATATACATTAATAGGGATGTGCATGGGCAAAAAAGTTCGGTTTGGCACTTCCAAAATTCGGGACTTCTGTAATTCGGCACTTCAGCACTTCGGTTCTACACTTCTGAAATTCGGGACTTCAGCAATTCGACAATTCAGGAATTTGCAATTCGGCACTTCGGAACTTCACCACATCGGCACTTTGGGACTTCTGGATTCGGGACTTTGGCAATTCCCTAACCCTCTCCCCACCCCTAACCCTATCCCTACCCCTACCCTTAACCCTAACCCTAACCCTACCCCTACCCCTACCCCTACCCTTAACCCTACCAGGAACACTACCCCTAACTATAGCGGTACCCCTAACCCTAATCTTACCCCTAACCCTAACCCTAGAGTTAGGTGTAGGGTTAGGGTTAGAGTTAGAGTTAGTCATCTTTTTCCCTCCCTCTCCTGTTTTGCCACTTTTTAGAATTCCAAAGCACTTTGGCACTTCTGAAATTCGGCACTTTGGCATTTCGATTCGATTCAGCACTTCCAAAATTTGGCACTTTGGGGCTTCAGTAATTCAGCTCTGTTTGGCACTTCAGAAATTTGGCATTTCGGCGCTTCGGAAATTCGGATATTCGGAAGCATCCGAATGTCCGAATTGCCGAAATTCGTCCAAATTTTCCTTCAGAACGTATTGCACATGTCTATACATTAATATAAACTCACATTTTATTTAAAGGTAATCTTAATAAGTAAAATAATCAAAAAACTCAATTTGTGTAACAATAATCAAAACACATAATAACCTAATACACACACCACAAATGTATTCATATCTTTATTGAAGTAAAAAAACAATAACACACATAAACAGGGAGGGGAAAAAGAAAAATGGGAAAATATTTGCCTCCTGTCTTTAATAAAAATTAAGATTATAGGAACACTGTGTTAGCATAATCTACAATTTTATAACATGACAGGACGCCTCATATTTTACAATTTTAAAACTGTGGAAGAAAAGCAAAAGAAGCATGAGAAACCTGATGGAAATAAAATACAATGAATGTACTTTCTCTAGTCCAGTCCGCAGACAGCAAAATATCGGCAAGCGAGGCACCCGCCGACAAAGCCCTCGACATGACTGCACCCCGAACCGAGTGTGCATCAAAAAAAGAATCTATGCCCTCTAAAGATAGTAACCAGCTAACCCATCTTGCTAGAGTGGTGGACATGACCAGATGATGAGGTTTAGCAAAGGAAATAAGAAGTTGTCCTGATGGGAATGCCCGTAGAGGAGCATTTTGTGTTTGGGACCAAGTGGCTTCTAAAAAAGACTGGACATACCCCATTTGCAATACCTTAGGTTGTCTACTTTTTTAAATGGTATGTCATTATGGGGTAATTCTCATTCCTGGACTACCATACGTCCTCAAAGGCAACGTAACCAATCTGGCAAATTTCAATGTGAAAAAACGGAAAAATGTAACATGGTATATTTGACCCTGTAACTTCCCAAAACACCATAAAACCTGTACATAGGAACTGTTTCACACATGAGACATCGCTGAATATGTGTATTTTATTGCAGTAAAAGCAAACAGTATTATGACATTCACAGTTAAAATGTCACGTAGTACTAAAAATATTTTAAAAATTCTTATTTTCTCCCATCTTTTAATATTTTATTCATATTAAATTATGTTTCAATCCTAAATATTGATGTTAAATGAAAGCCCTGTTTCCCTTGAATAAAATGATATATAATAAGTGTGGATGCACATATTATGAAAGAGACGAATTACGCGTGAACAGACACAGGGCCGCCATCAGAAATTGTGGGGCCACTCACACAGCTCAAGGTCTGGGCCCCTGGGTTCCTGCCTCCAAATCCCACCCACAGGAATACACACACACACAGACACAAAAGGACACAGACACACACACAGAAAGATACACACATACTAACAGACACAAATACTGAAACAGACATACACACAAACAGGCATACTGACACACACATATTGAAACAGACACACACACACACACATATACAGACACATACACATGCATAAGGAAATACAGATACACACACACATACTGACATACAGACACACACACTGACGTACATACAGTTGCAAGAAAAAGTATGTGAACCCTTTGGAATGATATGGATTTCTGCACAAATTGGTAATAAAATGTGATCTGATCATCATCTAAGTCACAACAACAGACAATCACAGCCTGCTTAAACTAATAACACACAAAGAATGAAATGTTGCCATGTTTTTATTGAACACACCATGTAAACATTCACAGTGCAGATGGAAAAAGTATGTGAACCCTTGGATTTAATAACTGGTTGAACCTCCTTTGGCAGCAATAACTTCAACCAAACATTTCCTGTAGTTGCAGATCAGACGTGCACAACGGTCAGGAGTATTCTTGACCATTCCTCTTTACAAAACTGTTTCAGTTCAGCAATATTCTTGGGATGTCTGGTGTGAATCGCTTTCTTGAGGTCATTCCACAGCATCTCAATCGGGTTGAGGTCAGGACTCTGACTGGGCCACTTCAGAAGGCGTATTTTCTTCTGTTTAAGCCATTCTGTTGTTGATTTACTTCTATGCTTTGTGTCATTGTCCTGTTGCAACACCCATCTTCTGTTGAGCTTCAGCTGGTAGACAGATGGCCTTAAGTTCTCCTGCAAAATGTCTTGATAAACTTGGGAATTCATTTTTCCTTCGATGATAGCAATCCGTCCAGGCCCTGACGCAGCAAAGCAGCCCCAAACCATGATGCCCCTACCACCATACTTCACAGTTGGGATGAGGTTTTGATGTTTGTGTGCTGTGCCTTTTTTTTCGCCACACATAGTGTTGTGTGTTTCGTCGAAACAACTCAAATTTGGTTTCATCTGTCCACACAATATTTTGTCAGTACTGCTGTGGAACATCCAGGTGCTCTTGTGCAAACTGTAAACGTGCAGCAATGTTTTGTTTGGACAGCAGTGGCTTCCTCTGTGGTATCCTCCCATGAAATCCATTCTTGTTTAGTGTTTTACGTATTGTAGATTCGCTAACAGGGATGTTGGCATTTGCCAGTGACTTTTGTAAGTCTTTGGCTGACACTCTAGGATTCTTCTTCACCTCATTGAGCAGTCTGCGCTGTGCTCCTGCAGTCATCTTTACAGGACGGCCACTCCTAGGGAGAGTAGCAGCAGTGCTGAACTTTCTCCATTTATAGACAATTTGTCTTACCGTGGACTGATGACAGCAAGTCTTTTGGAGATACTTTTATAACCTTTTCCAGATTTATGTAAGTCAACAATTCTTAATCGTAGGTCTTCTGAGTGCTCTTTTGTGCGAGGCATCATTCACATCAGGCAATGCTTCTTGTGAAAAGCAAACCCAGAACTGGTGTGTGTTTTTTAGAGGGCAGGGCAGCTGTGGCCAACACCTCCAATCTTATCTCATTGATTGGACTCCAGTTGGCTGACATCTCACTCCAATTAGCTCTTGGAGATGTCATTAGTCTAGGGGTTCACATACTTTTTCCACCTGCACTGTGAATGTTTACATGGTGTGTTCAATAAAAACATGGCAACATTTCATTCTTTGTGTGTTATTAGTTTAAGCAGACTGTGATTGTCTATTGTTGTGACTTAGATGATGATCAGATCACATTTTATGACCAATTTGTGCAGAAATCCATATCATTGCAAAGGGTTCACATACTTTTTCTTGCAACTGTATATCCTCCACATACTGACACACATACATACAGACATACATACATACATACTGACAAACTGACATACATACAGACATACATACATACATAATGGCATACATTAACATACATACAGTGATACACACACACATACAGATAGATATATAGACATACATGCATACACACATACATACTGATAGATATATACATACACACATACATACTGACAAACAAACATGCATACATACATGCAGACATATACACCTCATTTATCAGCCACCCTCCTCTCCCTTACCTTTTCGTTGCAGGAGGTTGATTGGGGATGATGGGAACAGATGCCTCTCCTCGGCTGTATCTCCGCCCGCGCGGAGTAAGCTAGGAGGAAGTGACCGGCCGTCACTTCCTCCCTGCAGCACATGCGGTGCTGCCGCAATTTTTTTAAAGAGGCCCAGTCATGCTATTACGCGGCCGCAGTGCTGACCGGGCCCCTGAAGATATAAGGCCCATCGGGTAGCCCTTAAATGCTTGACCCACCTGATGGGCCCTGGTGCAGATGCACCTGCTGCAGTTTCACCGCTCCATGTGGGGCCAGGTCGGCCGGGCCCCCCAGAGCCGCTGGGCCCATGACAACCATCATGGTTGTCCCCCACTAGTGGTGACCCTGAACAGACATATGCGCAATTTCAAGTTTTTGTTTACTTTTTGTTTTGTTCACAACGTGTACATTTGGCTCAGTCCTTAAGCGGTTAAGCAATGGTATAGTAATAAGAGATGAAGCAACAAAATACTCTGACCTGTACCAGCAGGAGCAGCAAAAAAGAGGAAGAAATAAAGGGGGAGGTGCCTTCTATATCCTGTTGCAATATGTTTTTTTCACTAAACTTTTTTGTTAAATCTGTGCTGCTGAAGTTTAGTAAAGAGAGTTTAATGCAAAATATGAAGCCTCCTGTCATGTTATAAAATTTGTCATCTCTAGATCTTTTCACTATATGATTAAAATGCAACTGGTGCTATAGACTATATAAAAATCATAATTAGCTCTTTATGTTTTTGTATTTATATATTGTGCTTATCTTTCGTTTTGTGTATTTTTATGGATTGCAGGTCGCAGAGTTTGCGTCGGTGAAACTCTAGCACGAATGGAGCTCTTTATGTTTTTTACAAGTCTTCTACAAAACTTTCACTTTTGTCTACCACCTGGCATTACTGATGTTGATCTCACCCCTGCAGTTGGAATTCTGACACCTCCTTTCCCATATAAGATGTGTGCAATACCAAGAGCTTAACTGCATACACTGAAAACATAGTTACAAAATAATTTTTTTGTTTTGTAATGTGTAAAAAATGAGAGAAATAAGCGGTGCGGCTTTACCCCCTTGATCTAAGGCTTATATATTTTTTTAAAATGGAAAAAAAATAAATAAAGGTACTGCTATTGAATTTATCTTGTAGGAAGATGAAGTGTATATTTGATGTTCCCTGTGTGGGTTCTCATAGATATGTACTTTTGAAATTTTAAATAGAAGTGGAATCTATGTCATCAGCTCCACTCTAAAATTAAAACCAGCCTTCTCCTACTTCTGTATAAGTGTTGTTCTATTTAGTTAGCTATTCACACAATTCTATATACCTGAAACTGATAAAGTCTGTAATTCATTCTACACATATCAGGAATAATGGCTTGGGTGATGCCCTGCTATTTCTCCCAGGGAAAAATCACACCATCTAAAACAGGGGTTCTCAACCCAGTCCTCAGGACCCCCTACCAGTCCAGGATTTGGGGATTACCTGGGTGTGTCTCAGGTGTTTAGAAAAAGGGAAAAAAAGACACACCCAGGTAATCCCTAAACCCTGGACTGGAAGGGGATCCTGAGGACTAACGTTGAGAACCCCTGATCTAAAAGAAAGACCTCAATACATCCTTCCAAATTCTGCATATGTATTGAAACATAGACATTCCCAAATCTGCACGCTTCACCCTATGTATTATTTTTATGTGGTTTTGAGTATATATTTTCTATAAACATCTCTAGTGAAATGTGAGAGATAACTATCCTACGTGTATCTCTATGATCCAAGATATGGCCTATTCATCACATCCTTTGCACACACTTTCAACAAACATATAATATTTCTATTTTTGCTCCAATATTACAATATTACAGACCTTTGTGATACAAAGTTATCATATGAATCTAAACCTCTTAGTATTATTTGTTGGGCCCATAGATAATTGTTGTGCATTGTGGGATAAGAGCAGTACTTCTAAATAAAGTTTAGAGAGCAACATGATTGGCTAAGTTCCTTTCTGGACAGAGCTAATTGCAGAAGGTGCAAAGCCTGGGGTTTACAAAAACCTTTATTTTTATTTTTTTTATAATATTATTTTATTGATTTTGCCTATATATTTAGAGCATTTTTTTTTTCAATGTCTCGTTTTTAAATGTGGAGTTCACCCCTGCAAGCACCTCATCTATAAGAGGGGTTTGTTCACTTTTCCAGTGTCTGGCTATGGTTATTTTAGGTTATTTATTCGGTGTAGGTTTTTCTGGAGAGTCGGTATTATATGTAGGAGATAGCATTTAGGCCGGAGCGGAATTGGACTTAGTGCTAGTTTGTTTAATAAGGCCTCCACATGCAGCCAGTACACTTTAACTTTGAGTAAGCCCAGAAAATTTAGGAGAAAGACCCCACCTGCTTGCTGTACCTCCAGCACATAGCTGAGGATGAAACATAGAAGGTCGTCAGTTTCTTTGGTACCAGATACCATCTCATCATAATTTTTCAGTACGCTTCCCAATTATATAGGCAATTACTAGAGGATTTGGTCAGCTGTAAGGTTCGGATCCAGTCTCTCTGGTTTATTTCTATCTCTAATTCCTTTTCCCATTGTAACATTTATGGCAGTTTTTCGGGGATGTACAAGTCATTGATTGCGTTATAACAAATGGATAGCAGTTTGCCAAGTTTTCTTTTATCATTACAGTATAGGGAGAAGGGAGTACTGTGCAGGGGTGGGCTCCCTGATACCTGATTCACACTAGTAATGTGTTTGATTCATAAGTAGGTGAAGAGTTCTCTGGGCTGGCGTTTAAGTTCCGACTGAAGCTCTGGGAAGGGCTTAATACCCTGGTTGTTGCACAAGGAGTCGGTGGTGCTAGCACTTCCCATTTTCCAGTGTTGCAGCTGAATATCTGGAGCAAACTGGGTCAGGGTGTGTATTGGTGCCAGTGTGAGCAGATTGGTGGGGCCTATCAAGGGCTGAGCCCATCTTTTCCAGCTTTGTAACAGTAATTTTGTGCTTGGTAAGCTAATCTTCATTAAGGCGGGCCTAGCCCAAAGTTGGCCTTCAATCTTATATGGGGTGCTACAGGCGTTTCCCAAACTAACCCAAAGTGGGGGACTCGTACGTGTCAGGGCAGATACACATTGTGCAAATACCGATGCTTTATAACATGTGAGTACATCCGGCATACCCAGCCCTCCTTTAAGGAAGGGAAGCCAGGACAGGCAACGGGTCATCCTGGACGGGTTTTTCTTCTAAATGTGGGCATTAAGAAGCTTTTGAAATGTTTTTATTAAACCATTATGTAAAGCTATTGAGAGTGTTATTTAGAGCATTTTCTAACCACTATATTAAAAAGTAGCCTAATTCGTCTCTTTAACTAATATAACTCTTTGTAAAACCAATGTTCTACCAGTTTGGGAAAGAATGTTGTATCTTCAATCTATTCTCCCACCCAGTTCTAATGTAAAATCATTAAATTCCTCCCATTTTATCATAAATTCATAGATACACTCATGTAACAAAGACTGGTCAAAAACAAGTTCCCCTGAGAAGGAATTAACAAGTCCTCTTCATCTCCTCAGAAGAAAAGAACGCGTAGCAATGATCACTCAGAGGAATTGGTAAAGCTAAAGCAGCAATAATGGGACCAGGCAAAAGATTATTGAATACATCTACAAAGTTCCATTTCTTAAATGTTATAGAAACCATTTAAGGACCTTAGTGTATTTTTAGTTATAGGGTTATGTCATAAAGCAGAAAGCATCATGAACTGACAAGGGTCATGCCCATTTTACACCCCAAAAAAAGCTGAATTAAAATAAGTATACAAACTCTGAATTGAACTGAAATGTTATTGTTATTGCTCCATGATTAGCAGTTAAGTAAATTACTGTATTAGTAAAATGTATGGATCATGCTTCTAACAGGGCTGTAAAGATATCAATGTTGAAATTATTTTTTTATCCATGTAGTGTATCTTGAAGGTGAAAATCTTAAGTAATTCCAAGTCACTCTCCCCAAAATTGATTAAAACATAAGTTTTATTAATAATTTTAAAAGACTGGTAAAAATAGTCTCTAGAGAACTTACACAAAACTCAAACAAAATCAAAATGTGCTCAAAAGTGAAAATAAAATACTAAACACTATTATAATAGATGTCTTGTCCATGTGTACATTCATTATCCATTATAACGGGCTATTACTATGATATACTGTACTGTAGACAATAGCAAGGGTACAACTCCATATGAATATGTATCAAAATATTACAAATGTGTAGTACCATATATATACCATTAGATGGCTACAAAGGTTTAAATTGAAAATACAATAACACTATAGAAGATTGAACGTACGTACTCTAAACTGAAAACAAAAGTAATCTCTAGTAAAAAGTTTAGACAGAGAATTCACAGCCCCATGTCATGAATTCCTGTTTACCCCTATAACATAGCAAAAGGATTAATACCAACCACAGCTATCAAAACATTGATAAAATGTAGTGTTTACACAAACAAATTAATTTTCTTTTTAACCCCTTACTTACTGTTTTTTAAAGAACAGAAAGGGCTTTAATTTGATGTAACATATATATATATATATATATATAGATATATATATATATATACATGCTTATTTATTGTTAAAAAAATACAGAAAAAGGCAAAAAAAATGGTGTTTTTTGTACAGTTTTTGCAATAATAATGTGTGCCTAATTAGTGCAGGTTAAAGAAAGTAATTCAAAATAAATTAATTTAGTTGTTCTGATTTACAGAATATATAATGTGTCTGGGATTTTAAGTTTTTTTAGTATTTACAGGTCACAAAGCACAAGGAGTAAAATAAACTTTTAATGTGGAGTGATTTTAGAATTTGGTATATTTGTCTTGTAAGCTTAATAGCCATAAAAGAAAAAAAAAACTTGCCACACAAAAGTATATATTTATATAAAGTAGACATCACAGGCTATTGTCCTAAGGTTGTTTTGACACTTTCTACGTAGCCATTTCACCGCCAATCTCTGCTAAATATTGGAGTAAAATTTAGTTTTTTGGGGTTTTTGGCACACAAACTTATAACAAAGAACTTCTCATGTGTATTTTGTAAAGTTGGTGTGTGCTATTCCTGTACAAAGTTTTATTTTGTGTTCAGTTACTTCTGCTGAGTACAATGATACCCTCATTGTATGTCTTTGGCACTATTTCGTGAAGTTACAGTGAAGCTACAGTGCCATATAGGAGACCTGTCCGTTTCAACATTTACAGTACAATTTTGAGAGGCCTATTTTTAATGGGTCTATGCTATAATTTATTATAGCAGTTTGACTGTTCAAAAAACATCCACAAAGGCCTCCCATTTGTAAAAGTAGACACTCAAGGGTATCTCATATGGTGCATATTGTGCCTTAACATGCCCCCATTTTTTCACCAATATATGCCAAAGTATGTGGTAAAAAATAATTTGGGGCATTTTTTACATACGGATTACATTTTTGCTGGGCATTTTGTACATTTCATATGTGCCACTAAGTTCAAACCCCCAAATTATGCTCAGCTAAGTCTTCTGAGTAAAACAATATGCCCAATGTATGACCTAGACACTATTTTGTGAAGTTACACTGCTGTAAAAGAGACGTGACAAGTAGTGATGTCCCGAACGGTTTGCCTAACGGTTCACCGAACGGTTCGCCACAGATGGCGAACATATGCGCTGTTCGGTCCGCCCCCTATGTCATCATTGAGTAAACTTTGACCCTGTACCTCACAGTCAGCAGACAAATTCCAGCCAATCAGCAGCAGACCCTCCCTTCCAGACCCTTCCACCTCCTGGACAGCATCCATTTTACATTCATTGTGAAGCTGCATTCTTAGTGAGCTGTCCAGAAGGTGGGAGGGTCTGGGAGGGAGGGTCTGCTGCTGATTGGCTGGAATGTGTCTGCTGACTGTGGGGTACAGGGTCAAAGTTTACTCAATGATGACATAGGGGGCGGACCGAACAGCGCATATGTTCGCCATCCGTGGCGAACCGTTCAGCGAACCGTTCGGGACATCACAAGTGACAAGTTAAGGTTTTTAAGTGTGAATTTTCATGGAGGGTTTTGATGCGTCCGTGTCCCACTTTGGAGCACTTGAGCAGGCTACATATTACAACTACACCATAAAGGCATGCCATTTCTTAAAGAACACATCCCAGGGTATTTCAAAAGGCATATTTTGAACCTTAGCGTGGGATAATTTTTCCGCTAGCTTGTACCAAGTGTAGTGGTAATAAGCATTTTTTCTGCCTTTTTGACACACAAAGTGAGTTTGCGCAGTATATTTTGCAAACCTTATGTGTACTACGACTGTATACTACTTCATATGTTGTTCAGCTATGTCGCTGAGTACAGCAATACCCCCGTATGTACCTTTGCCAGGTATATGTGGACATTGAAGGGGCACATTTGAGACACAGCCATTCCAGTTTTTTTCAAACTTTGAATTTTTACGCTGTGTCCATATCCCATTTTAGAGTATTTTACAAGGCTATATAATCCAATTACCCCTTAAAGGTATACTATTTCTAAAAGAAGACATCCCAGGGCAATTCAAAAGGCCTATTTTGAACCTTAGCGTGGGATCATTTTTCCACTAGCTAGTACCAAGTGTAGTGGTAATAAGCATTTTTTCTGCCTTTTTGACACACAAGTGAGTTTGTGCAGTATATTTTGCAAACCTTATGTGTGCTACGACTGTATAATACTTCATATGTTGCTCAGCTATGTCAGCTGAGTACAGCAATACCACCGTATGTACCTTTGCCAGGTATATGTGGACATTGAAGGGGCACATTTGAGACACAGCCATTCCATTTTTTCTCAAATTTTGAATTTTAACGCTGTGTCCATGTCCCATTTTAGAGTATTTTACAAGGCTCTATAATCCAATTACACCATAAAGGCATACCATTTCTTAAAGAAGACATCCCAGGGTAATTCAAAAGGCATATTTTGAACCTTAGCGTGGGATCATTTTTCCGCTAGCTTGTACCAAGTGTAGTGGTAATGAGCATTTTTTAATGTATTTTTTTTACTTTGTAAAACTTTTTTTACTTTGTAAAACCCGTTTTTAAACTTTTTTTTTACTTATTAAATGTTTTACACGTTCTTAACTTTTTAACACTTTTAAAAAATTTTCTAAACTTTTCTTTTACCGTTAACCCCTAACTAGCAGTAAGCAGCACTAACAGTAAATTCCCCCCTTTCCCATAACTCCCACCCACTCCAGCTAGCAAAATATATATAATTATAAAATATTTAAATTAATTAATTAAATAAATTGAACCCCTGAGGGTTAAAAAATAAATAAAAGTTAATCCTCAAGGGTTAAAAGAAATTAGATTCCAGCATAATACTGTGATCTGTATTTTGATCACTGTAGGCAGTGATCAGCTGGCAGGGAAGGGGTTAATTTTTATTTAGACTGGGTAAAGGGGGGTGGTATTTTTTTTTACTTAGACATTACTAAAACATTTTTTTACATTTTTTTTACCTTTTTAAAGCTTATTTTAAAACTTATTTTTTTTTTTTTTATTTGACAATTTTTATTTGTCTTAACGTGGTTGGGGGTACAGAAAAGAAATGGAGGTTAGGGGGGGAAGAAGACATTGTGCAGACATTGTATAGACATTGCATATTACAAATCGCATGGAATTCACATTAGCTTCATACAGTCCTGGATCGAATATAATTGCGTGCCTCTATTACCCTGGGCTAAGTTAGTGTATAATTGCTTGTGTTGTGTGGTCCCTTTATGATGTAGTTGTCATGGGCTGGTTCTTGATTATGCTTCACATCGCAGGCTGGGCAGCCTGTGACTATGTCCGCATGCTGTAGCTTATTGGTAGGATGGGTGGGGGGGAAGGGGATAGTGGGATGTGTTGTCGACTTTTACGCTAGTCGTATATATTTTGAATGCACTGGTGTCTCAGTTTGGTAATGTTGGGATTGTATCAAGAGGGGATGGAGGGTGCGGAGGGAGGGGGAAGGGAATGGAGGGTTTACTTTGTTGCGATGTGCGTTGCATCGTACCTTTGTGTTTTTGCCAGCTGTAGCGGTGTATTTATTGATGGTTGAGTAGGTAGTATGCGTTTTGGTCCGTGGGTGGGCCTCCCATGACCCTATTTCTTGTCTTCTTGTTGTCCTTTCCTGCATTCACTCTGGCTTGGCCCAGGCTTGGTGGCCTTTTATATTATTTATTTTGTATTGTAAGGTGTTCTGTGTTTAGATGGTCTTTGTTTGCTTGTTATCTCACTTTTGTCTTAGGTACAGTCTTCTGATTCTGATCTTGCGATTTTTCCTGATGACTTATGTTGGTCATAGTTGATTCTCACGTATTCGTCCTTATAGTTTGGGTGTTTGGGTGTGTCTTCTTTTGGGTGTGATTGTGCTTAGCTAGGTGGGTGAAGCCGTTTGTTGTGGGTTGGTTTGTGATGTACCTTCCTGTTTATCTTTGAGTTCCCAGTATTCTTTCCACATCAGGTTTGCTTTGAGGATTGGTTTCTTTGGCCCATTTTGTTTTGAAAGCATGGTCTCGTATTGCCAGTTTAGGTTGATTTGGTTTAAAAGGGCATTGAAATTTGGTGCCGTGGGTGATTTCCATAATCTAGATATCACCATCGCTGCTGAGATCAGTATGTGGTATGTCGTTGCCCACTGGGCTTTGTCCATGTTGTCCAGTGGTATGAATAGTAGGCACATTTCTTCTGTGGGTCGTATGTTGGTCTTGGTTACTTGCTTAATCAGTTGGTGCGTTTTGCGCCAGAAAGGTTGTAGGGTGGCACATGACCACCATATGTGCAACATTGTACCTTCTTGTGTATTGCATCTCCAACATTTATTCGTGGATGATTGGGGACATATTCTGTGTATTTTGGCTGGTACTAGATACCAGCGGTATTGTATTTTCCTTTGTAGTTCTAGGTGGTTCGTGCAGGATGTGATACCTTTGTGTGACTCTTGCCCAGTGATCTTCATCTATTGTTCGGTGTAGTTCTTTGTACCAAGCTATTTTATGCATAATTTTCCCTTCGTTATGTGTGCTCGTGAGTGTTTTATAACACCGTGATATTACCTTTTTCGGGGCAGGGCGTTTGTACAGAATTTCTCGTATAGGGAGAGCGCCTAGAGTGGTTCCTTGTTTTGTTTTGTAGGGTGTGTATTCTTTAGGCACGATTTGAGTTAGAGGTATGGAAACAGCATGTGGTGCGGTAGGTCGTATTTAGTTTGCAGGGTAGGGAACTGCACCATGTCTCCTTTGTCGAATAGCTGTTCTATCCGTTTGATGCCATGTTCTAACCATTTGTTTTTGTCTATTGTGGGTATTATTGTAGCCATGGCTTCCATCGGGGTCGCTAGTGGTATTGGGTAGAAAGCCGTTAAATTGCTTTTTGTCGAGTCCCATATTTCTAACAGTAGTTGGGATGTAGGAAGTAGACGCTGTATTTTTCTGGGGTCCATAGGTATGTATGGAGTGCTATTGGTTGAACCCAGTAGGTTTCTATTTGGAGCCATTGTGGTCGTTCAGGGTGGGGTGCGGTTTGCGATATGGTGTGGAGTATTGCTGCTTTATAGTAGGCTTGTACATCTGGGAATCCCAGCCCACCTTCGGCTATGTCTCGTTGTATAATCTTCGTGGCAATTCTTATTTTTTTGTTTTGCCAAACGAACCTGAGGAACATGTTGTGAATCTCTGTTAAGAAGCTTTGAGTGAGTGGGATTTGTAGGGTTCTGTAGAGGTACTGCAATTTGGGTAATAGTGACATTTTTAAGGCTGCTATTCGCCCCACCCATGATATATATTTCCCCTCCCAGGCTTTCAGTGTGTTTTTAAAATTCACTAGAATGGTTTTGTAGTTGTGTTTGAACAGGTTGGATGGGTTCTTTGTAATTTTGAGGCCTAAGAAGGTTAGGAAGTCAGATCGCCAATCCATTGGAAATTTCTCTTGCATGGTTTCCATTTGTTGTCTGGGTATGTTTATTCCCATGGCTTGTGTCTTCGTCATATTCAATTTGTAGTATGAATGTTCCCCGTATTGGGCTATGTGTGACATGAGATTGGGTAATGAGATGTATGGTTCGGTCATGGTTATAAAGATGTCGTCTGCAAACAGACTTAGTTTGTATTCTTCCGTACCTAATGTGACCCCTTTTATGGAAAGTTCGTCTCTAATTTTGGCTGCTAACGGTTCGAGTGCTAAGACGTATAGAAGAGGTGAGAGTGGGCAGCCTTGTCTTGTCCCGTTAGTTATTCGAAATGTGTCTGAGCAGAATCCGGCTGTTACTACTCTGGCTGTGGGATGGCTGTATAAGGCTTGGACTACGTTGTGAAATTGCGTTGTAAAATTTGAATTTTTTAAGCACCTCCCGTAAAAATGGCCAACCAAGGCGGTCAAAAGCCTTCTCTGCATCTAGTGATATGAGGAGGCTTCCTGTTCCCATTCTCCTCACGCTGTGCACCAGGTATAGAGCTTTTCGTGTATTGTCTGATCCTTGCCTCCCTGCTACAAAGCCCACCTGGTCGTTATGGATTAACTGGGGTAGTATTCGACTTAGACTCTGTGCATGTATTTTGGCGTATAGTTTTGCATCTGTATTGAGGAGTGAAATTGGGCGGAAATTGGGGCAGTGCGTTGGTTGTTTGCCTGGTTTGGGGAGTGTGATTACATGAGCCATCAATAGTTCGCTGGGTAGTGTTCCTGATTGCGTGGCTTGGTTGAATAGCTGTTTGAGGTGAGGTGAGAGGATGTGTTGAAACTTTTGGTAGTAGAGGTTAGAGAAACCGTCTGGGCCTGGTGCTTTGTTTTTTGGCAGAGTTTTGATTCTTTCCTCTATTTCCTGTGTAGTTATGGGGGCTGACAGTTCTTCGATCTGGGTGCTCGATAGTGTCGGTAGGTGGATGTCTTCTAGGTATTTCCGTATGTCCTAACTACTCGGTCGGGTTATTTGGGTGGACTGTTCGAGGTTGTATAATTCCTTATAGTATGACGCGAATGCGTTGCTAATGTCCACGGGAGATATAACTTTTTTGTTCTTTTGGTCTATTATATAGGGTATTCTACTGTTTACTGTTTTGTGTTTAAGTCTGGATGCCAGCAGTTTACTTGCCTTATTGCCTTGTGTGTACTGTAGCTGGTTAAGCTTGCGTAAGTTGTAGCTTACCCGCTGCAGTGTGTGATCTCTAATTTTGTCTTGTAAGTTTTTAATTTGTTCTTGCAGCGTGTCACTTTGAAGTGTTTTGTTTTGGTTGGTAATGTCGTTCAGTTGTTTGTTCCAGTCTAACCATTGTGATTGGGTGCTGTGTTTGAGTTGAGCCGCCTTTTGTATCAGTAGGCCTCTCATTACCGCTTTGTGTGCTTGCCATATTGTGTGTGACTCTATGTGTGCAGAATCATTTACTTTAAAGTATTGAGTGAGTTCTTCTGTTATGAACTCCGTGAATTGCGGGTTGTGTAGTATGGATTCGTTTAGCCTCCATGGGCTTTTGTGTTTATATTCGTATTGATCTTTTATTGTGAGTGTGATAGCGGCGTGGTCCATATGGTTTTTATGGCACTGTCGGCTAGTTGATCTAAAAATGTTCTATGTATGTGAAATCTGTCAATTCTAGTGTATGTTTTGTGTGGGGCTGAGTAGTAGGTGTAGTCTTTTTGGTGTGGATTGAGAAGTCTCCATGTATCATAAAGTTGGTGTTCATCTAGTAGTTTCTTGTAGTTGTTGCATGCTTTATTTTGTTTTGCTTTGTTTGTGGAGTTCAGTTGCGCTGTGGTGTCTTGTTGTGGGTCTATGATGTGGTTAAAGTCCCCACACACAATTGTCATTCCTTTCTGTATTGACTTCTCTTTTGTTAGAAGTTGGTGAAGGAAATTCCTTTGATCAGTGTTGGGAGCGTAGGCTGCTACTATGGTGTATAGTATGTTATTTATGGTGCACACCAGAATTACATATCTGCCTAGGGGGTCTAAATGGGAGTCATGGTGTGTAAATGCCACTTTGTTACTAATCAATATTGACACTCCTTTAGATTTGTGTCCTGTGACCGCATGGTATTGGTGTGGGAAAAGGTCGGGTCTAAGAGTTGGTCCTGTTTTGAAATGTGTTTCTTGGAGGCATATTACCTCTGCTTGCTCTCGTTTCAGGTCTCTAAAGAGGCAATGGCATTTGTATGGGGTGTTCAACCCTTTAACGTTATGGGAGTATATTTTCATGGTAGTGTTTAAGTGTGTGTGTGCGCTTTGTTTTATGTTGTTTACTTTTTGCTCTGGCTAATCTCTGGGTATTATGGTAATTAGGTTCCGTCTGCGCTGTTTTTTTGGTGCAGGTCTTCGTTGATGTCTGGGATGTGTGTTGCTATGGGTAGATTTACCTTGACGTATGGATATGGGGGTGGGGGTGCGGGTGTGGGGTAGGGGGTGGAGAACTGGGGAGTAACCGGGGTTTAACATAACTGTAGTTGTCACTACTAATACCCAACTTTGGGTTTGGTCACCGCACATCGTGACCCTGTGGGGGTGTGTCGTTTGTTTTGAGATTTCACCGGTGTATTGGCCTGCCCGTGTATATGTTTGACTTTTAATGCTGCAGTCTTTCCTAAGATTGGAGCGGTATGGAGATGTGACCTACAGGTCGGGTCCTGATAATTAAGCATTCCATTTCTTGTGTTCAATTATTGTCACTAGTACTTCGTGGTTCATAGGGCGTTGTGGTGGTTTTTACTTTATGGGAACTTCCCTTGTGGGGTGTGACGTCTATATTTATTGTGTGATTATTAGAAATTTTTTAAAAATTTTTTTCCCCCTGAACCCTATGTATCTTATGTGTCCACTTGTATCCATTGCTTACTATTGCTATCTCGGTCATAATTCAGTCCTGCTCTACTACTCTGCAGGTTGGACATAATTGGTTGTTAAGTGCTCTGCTTTATATTTTCAGTTCCTTGCTACCTTCTGTGGTAGGTCTATGGCTCCTACTTAGCAGTTATTTAGTTGAACAGTTACACGATCTCAGCTCAGTCCTAATCTGCTACCTGGCAGGTTAGACACCATTGGAGGTGTTAAGTGCTCTGCTTCACTTTTCCAGTCCCTTACTGCTCCCTGTGGTAGGTCCTACTTATCTGTCATTTAGCTGAACAGTTAACCATTTAGACGAGAATCCTATCTAGTCTTCTGCTTCCTCTCAGAATGACTCATATATGGCGTTTCTTGCCTTAAGTGTTGGTGTAAACATGAACATAAATATGAATATAACTTATACATAAATATAAATGTAACTTATATGCTAAATACAGTCTTTATAGCTTGTTATACTTATGTGTGTCGTCAGACCCTTAGTCGTGTCGACCACGCTGTCTTGAAGCTGGTATGTTACCGGATCATTTGCGCTGCTTTTTCCAGTCGGGCGTTAGCCTCTGCGCTGCCTGATCTTTCTCCAACTGCCGTGGCAACTCTATTCCCCAGTTTCGTAGGGCTTTCCTGCCTTCTTCTGGTGAGTTGATGGTCGTTATTGTTCCATTTCTATGGACTAGTAGGCGCACCGTGTGCCCCCATCTGTAGGGCAGTTTATGCTCTCTCAAGGCTCCTGTGACTTCCTTATATTCCCTGCGTTTTTGTAGCGTTAGGGCGGACAGGTCTGAGTAGACTTGTACAGGCCTGTATTTCCCTGGTAAGTCTCTGCCTGACCTTGAGGCTTGCATAATGGCCTCCTTTATGTGGAAGTAGTGGAGTTTTGCCAGTACATCTCTCGGTGTCTCTGCCGGTAGAAAGCGTGGTTTGGCCACCCTGTGAGTCCTGGCGATTAGTAACATGTCTGTGGGTAGGTCTGGTACCATAGTGTGAAAGAGGTCTATTAAGTATTCTCTTCGGGCTGTTTCACGTCTTCTGGAATGCCTCTTAATCGTATATTTTGTCATCTCGATCGATCTTCTAGGTCCATTATTTTCAGTTGGATCTGAGTTTGTTGTTGTTCCAGCTTTTGTACGTGGTCCGCCATGTCGATGTGGGCCTCAGCGTATTCGCCCATTCTATTTTCTATCCTTGCTGTGCGGTCCCCCAGATCATGTACTTCTCTTTTTATTTCTGCTATAGATTTGTTGATGTTGGTCAGGATTTTAGTTGACATGTCGTCAAGGCATTTCTGCAGTATTTCTTGTGTAACCGGTAAGTTCCTTGTTGGGTCTTTCTGTAGTGGGAGTGTGTCGTCTCCGTCGCCATCTTGATCGCTTTCATGTGAGACGGCCTGTTTCATGTGAGGCTGCCTGGTTCCGAAGAACGCGCTTTTTTCTCCTTTGTCCTGGAGTTTGGGTTTGTTCTTCGCTT